GAACGAAGTTACGGAAAGTTAATTAACAAACGGAGACGTAACAGAACGTTAACTTCAACAATACTTTCTCACTGCAGATCAGTTACTCACTACCTACACACACATTGTCACGTCACGCCGTGGCCATCTTATATATACCAGACCCCCCCCCCATCTAGTAAATGCTAGAGCACTCCCGAAGGTACGGGATAGTTCTAGAAAGCAGGTGGCGTGACAATAGTCACGTGATCTCGCTGACGCAACAATACGCTAAAAATCAGGGTTCGTTTAATACCCGTGAGAAACGCAGTGCACATAGCTTTATGCTTAAACATAAACAGTTTATTTATGTGATTAAGTGAGTACTTCTTCTTTCGGAAATTCTTAATACCCAATCTGAACGCGTGCACATTGTTATGGTTGGCGTGTATGAATATTTTGCTTCGGAAAGGGCTGATACATACCCTTCTCACAAGCAATCAATTTTCGATGGTATAACGCCAAACGATATCAGAATGTAGTTCTGATACATTTCTTGGCACCAATAACATTTTTTCGACTGTGAATAGGTATAATGTTGTTTACTGATTCGAATATTTAAAATTGTTTTAATACAACGTACTCAAACCTCTGCTCATTTTATTGAACACTTTTTTTCTAATACCCCATTTTGGATGTATTATTGTTAGATAGTTGGATGTGAAAGGGGAGCTATTCTGTATCAAAACTTTTAATCAAAACATACTAGCCACAAAAACTGGAACTAAAACTTAAACCAGTAGATAAGGTAGCTAATTTTGTATAGTGGTAAACATAAAATTGTGCAATGATGAAAAACAAAACGTTATAATGATTATGAGGGATTGATTGATCAGTTGGGCATACTCACTGTTATTGATACTTTTATGAATGTGGAAGTTGCCACTGAACCAGAACAGTCTTATCAAATCCAGCTCACCAGTTGTGACGAAGAGTTCTATACAGATATTCAGAAAACTACATATAGAGTCTAAAGATGTAGAAGCCAGTAAAGATTTAACCTCTACGCTAAATTCTTTGTCGTTTAAGCACGAGAAGAAACTATGTTCAAGTTGAAGAGAATGTTCCCTCGTGGGACAAAGGTAAGCCTACGAACTTACAACGCTAAAATTCGGTGTTCGATTTCCTGTGGTAGTCACAAATGTGGCTTTGCTCTAAAACAAACTAGCAAACTCCGTGAGATGACCTTCCACCCAAGTTTCATCCTACTATCCCTCTCCTGAAAAAGTCCCCAGGAAGGTCAGCGCTAAGTTTCCGGATTTACAATTATCCGGGTTTCGTATTCCTGCGGTGAATGGAGAAGAGATAGCTCATTGTGTAACTTTTTGCTGAAGAAATAACCAACAATTTATCCTCTGACCCTTTTCCCAATAATTTAATATACTTACTCCGAAAAGTAGACCAAAACTGTACACAAGTGAGGCATAACTATTGAATTGTATAAATAGACAATTTCCTCTTTCTACTTGTAATCAATAAATCTATAAATCTTATATTAGCTTTACAACTTATTAACAAGCTCTACCATCCCCCTTTTTTAATTGAAAAAAAGGTAAAACAATTTTAAGACTAGTAGTTATTATTATTTTACACTTTAAACGAAACAATATATTCAAAACTATTTTGTTTAGCTGTGGTAGTTATATCGATTTACTATTATTTTTGTCACTATTATTATTGAGACACAAAATACTGAATACCTAAGTAACCGTTCAGTCAATCAGCTGGGTGTGTCACGAGCATTTATTAAATTGTTCGTTATCGAAAGTTACTAGAGGGCGTATATTGTTACAAAAAAGTAAACCGAAACAGATACTATGGTAATAATGCCTCGATTAGTAATCAGCATGATGCAAGTTCGCTCGAAGAAGGTGCAACTGTTTGAACTCACCTGATGCAATCTGTTTAGAAGTTGCGTTATTCAAACTATACCGTCCAATAATGCACAAAATACAAATTTTGGTTTAGAGTCTATTGTTTTGTGTAATATTAATTTAACACCATTGGATATTCAAATCAAAATAAAAGACTAAGGACAGAGAAAGACAAGACTTATTTTAGTTACGACTTTGTTATCTCAGCAAAATTCGTTTTTCAGGTTTTATATAGTTATGTGCCTACAAAACTTAGTTGTATTTCAAATAATGCGAAAGTCGTACATAATGTATAAGTTATCAAGTGTAATGTCAGTAACGTAAGTTACAAATGTATATGTCAATTTATGGCACCTAAAAACGTATGGCCATGTTATATTTATAATTAATTACTATGATTAAGTAATTTTAACGCGTTGACCTTTCTTTTAAAATTTATTAAATATATTTATAATTGTATAAACCAAATTTGAATTTTGCAAAAGTGTATAAAGTTGTGTGGATCCACTAAGTTCTTCGAATCTAAGGTAAGTGATCTTGTATTGTGTCATTTTTTTGGCTCTACTTAATTGGATTTATAAGTAGTAAAATTCTTAAGTTTTATAATGGCTTATTGTATCTAGAACATGAGGTATTACTCCTTCAACTAAAATAAATTACTGCTGGTAAAAAGGGCAGTGTTTCTTCCCAAGAGAAAAAACACATAAGTTGTACTTTTATAATTTTTTACTTATAGTTTTTCCCCACTTTATTTTATTGTAGCTGCCAATTTTACTGGAAAAATTGTTATAAGACACTTAATATAATTATAGTTGAGGTTTCATTGCTTGAAACTTGCCCTTAAATAATTTTCTGGTCCTAGAGCTAATTTATAGCATTCCTCTTAGTCTCATGATCTTGGAAGATTGTGTGCTACAATAACATAATATATTTTATTATTTCCTACACCTTTAAATGGAAAATGTTTATACCATCATTTCTTACTATATACACAGTTAGTTATAATTATGTCCTCTGCTATGATTATTACAATTTTCACACTGTATCTCATTCATATATTTGACATGCAGTGACTGTTACAATAAGACTTATTAATTTTATTTTGTCTGTTGATAGTATTCCAACAGCAATGTGTTAATAGTAGGCCAATGTTGATGATGTATTTTGCTTATGAGAATATATAGAAATGATCTTGTCAACATTGGCCTACAACAGATAAGGTACTGTTGGAAACCTCAATGGATCTGTTGCAAACAAAATGTTAAAGCTGTAGTCGTATTGTGACATTTCATTATACTTACTGGCATAAAATGTTGCATGCATTGTCAAATTCAACATTAAAATCTACATATATTAATATACTATACATGATGTCATTAAAAATTAAAGAAATCTTCAATATGAACTTAAATTTTGTGTTGAGACATAACCGACTAAGTATGAGCTGTAATATTGAGAAGATTTTCTGGAGCAGCCTAAAAAACTTACAATAATTGGAATGCTTTGATATACTTTTACCTTCAAATATTTCTGGTTAAGTAAGTTAATCATGAAGTATTGGATGCTTTTAGTACTTACTTTGTTTTATCACGGATTCTAGCATGCTTGCAAAGTATATTCAAGTTAAATACCTGTTATGAAGGCATCTTAAATTTGAACAAAGTTGCAAAACACACTATACATTCTATACATTCTTAATTCAGTGAGAAATGGTCTGTTCCATATATAGAAATTCAAAATCAAAAAGAAACAGGACATGGCATAATGATTTTTTCCACAGAAGCTTTATCTACTGAACTAGATTTCCCTTTATGATTTTATTTATTTATTTATGTTCATATTTAACACCTGCCACATGAGCCACTATTTTTTGAGGTCAAGATCACTGGACCCATGACCTGGTCCAAGACCATGAGAGCCAACACTGAGAAGTTCATTTGTAAATGTAAGGTAAAATGATGTGATGTCATATTTTCAGTGATATTTAGTTTTCTTATTTTAGAAGTTGTACTGAGCTTCATTCATCAAGATCTGTTGAAATAACCCGAAATCATGAGTTTCTTGAATGAACCCTCTGTTTACTATCCTAGACTCAGTACTAAAAGATACTGGGCTGGCTCGTATGGCAAGTCTTAAAAAATTAACTGATGTTTACATTTGAGTAATAGTAGTTAAGTTATTTACTTAAAATGTAGAAGAAAGCAGCTCTTTTTTTTTACAATTTTAAATTTTATGTGGTAATGTTTTACTAGTTTTGTGATTACTTTTTATATTCAACAGTTTTTCCTTTTTGAGCTAGTTTCACAATGATGTTTTACAGGGTTTTTTCATGGAGTCTTTCGTAGGCCTTTCTGGCCCCTCTAACCAAGACTTGGAGTCTCCTTTAGCTAGCGATCCAATACCTGATAGTTTACCACCTGAAGCAGCAGAGGGTAATGTAGAGTACAAATTGAAGCTTATTAATCCTTCCCAAAGTCGTTTAGAGCACTTGGTTACACAGATGAAATGGAGATTACGAGAAGGTGAAACTACTATATTTTATCCATTGGGTGTTTCATACACAGTGCTGTGTTCTGGTGATTTCATTTTATACATTTTAAGAAGATTATGTTTATATCATTATAAACAAAATATGTGTGTATCTGTAATTTGAATATTATACATTAGCCAAGTACTTCAATCATATTCACCTGTTATATTAAATTAGTTTGTTAATTTGCCTCTTTGTATGTTACCTAGTCAAAACTAACTTGTTGTAAAAGGTAGTTATTAGAATGCTTGAAATTAACAGTTCCATTAGTACATGCCACATTAATGTCAGCATTTCACTTTATTTCATTTCCAAGGGATAACAAGAAGCCAATTAGCCTACTTAGGTAATCTTATTTTCTCTATCATTTTTTCCAAACCACATATAGAAACACCTTTTCATATATACAAATCTTATCTCTAGAATATTCATTCAATCTTCTCTTAATCCTGTGTGCATGGGTGGGGGTTAAAGTGTGTATGTCCTAATCTTGTGTAGAGTGTCATTCAACATGGTATTACAAATTTAATGTCAGAGTTATCAACTTTTGTGTTACTCTGCATTGCTGATGTTACAACAGTTCATGTTAGAGCAGAGAAAATACCAGACACAATCTACAGAAAAATTTTAAATATGCATTAATGAGGTTGCAGAGGTTATGCAAATACAATTGGCAGACTGTATGATCTATAGAAATATTTATATTCTTCACATGAGCATTACCTTGCACTTTTATTTGTCAGAGTCTGAGTCCAACTGACTTCAGCATTTCACAGGCATATCTTTAGTAAAAATACTTTAGTAACACATCTGATTTTCTGTGCACAACAGACTTGTACTGTTAACTAAAAGCTTTCAACATTTCATAAATTTGGAATTATAGTAAACATTCCTTCTCTAATACCATTGGACCAACCCCATGCACGTTCAGATAAACTCTTTCAATGTTGTAGCTTTTATCAAATCTAAAGGAACACTATTCTATAGGCCACTGACTTTATTAGAAAAGTAATACTACTTTAACTTGAGTTATGACTGGATTAACAATTTTAAACACCTGAGTCATTTCTTCCTGAGTTCTTCTTCTCTCCAGTAAAAGTGTGTTAAGATTTCAGCCCTATATGGTAGTCCCTCTAAACCTGGAATCATCTGATATCTCCTTTTTTGAACACTCTCCAACAGTTCAACACTTTATACTGATAAGTAAACTGGAAAGAGAATTGCAAGTCTTTAGTCACAGCTCTGAATTTGACAACTTTTTTTCTGAAACCATAGTGAAAAATAATCTTATTTTACTAAGTTTCAATAAGATGTGAGACTATGACTTTTTTAAGTTCTACAATCAGTTACAAGTTTAAATGCATATATAAGTTTCTTAAAGGTTTTATTTTTATATGATAAAAACCGTGTAGTCACTTTTTGTTTTCAGTTTCAAAGACAAAACTTCCTTACACACAAATTATTTTAACTATTCTGAAATTTCTAAAGTAAAAATTTTATCTAAAATTTTGTATTGAAATGATAATGAGGATTTGAAAAAAAAAAATATTACCTGGCAATGTAGTTTTTTGAGTTTTACATTGTTGTTGTTGTTTATGTGTATATTTATATATGTATGTTTATTTGTAAAGACTACTATGCTTGTCCCCTTGAGAAAATGAAATCTCATTATCAAACTATATGGAATAGGCTTAACACCTGTAAGACATATGTTTACTTGTCATTACTCTGTAATGCACAGATGGTTCATTTAAACAGAAATATATCTATATGTTTTAAATAGTTGTGTGATTTGTTATGCATTTATAAAATTAATCATCTTAACTAGGACAAGGTGAAGCAATATATGAGATTGGAGTAGATGATGGTGGTACATTGGTTGGTCTATGTGAATTGGAGATGGATGCTTCAATGAAGACTCTGTATCTTATGGCTGATAAACTGGGGGCAAGCATTAACATTCTACGGGAACAAATGATCACCGGTGAAAGTGACCTAACTCCTAGAAAAGTTACAGAGGTATTCACAATTTTCATTCTTGTATCACATCTTACCTAGCTTGCAGGAAATATAAAAAATACAATACACAGAAAAGCAGCAGATCATTGTAAGGAAGGCCAAGAAATGTTTCCTGACTGTGACTTGAACTATATCCTTTTCAACTTGCTAAGTGAAGAAAAGCTTCATTACCTAAAAGAGTGCTTCTCCACTCTGACTGTCATAGTAGCACCCCTCCATTCCGAACCTCATATTTTTAGATTAGAACACATAACATAACCTGACTTTTGTATGTGAATTATGAACACAATACTCCCCAGTAATGTGAAGCTTAAAATAGTTGCTATCTTCTAGCCAACAAGAACACAAAGCCTTCTTTTGAGTCAAACAAACAGAAAGTTATTTTTCTATTTCCTATCTGATAAACTAGCAACTACTAGTTAGACACCATGGTAAATATTATGAAAACAAGAAATTTTCCTTGGTTAGGACTTAAACCAAGAACTCTCAGCACACTGTTGTTTTGAACTGATATTTACAAATTAAACTGGCAGGCTCAAGATTGAGACAAACAACTCTTTATTCTTATGAATGGATTATTCACTTTTTTGTTCTGTGATTAGTTTCTAATCAGGTATTTAATATTAACTTCTGATCTAACAAGCTCCTACAGAGATTATAACTAAAAATTAAGTAGATGTGCAATTTGACTAATTTTTTTGAGAGGCAAACTGCATACTCAGCTTTGCCCTGACAGATCCAGTGGAAGTCTACAAGTAAAAGAGAACTCTCAGTACATAATGGGTTTCTTTTTGAAGCTCTTGTAATGCACTTTAAATATCCTACCTTAAAAATTTTACAGGTTGTTTTAAGAAGACTGCACTCTTTCATCTCTTTTTTTTCTTGAAAACATGGAAAATGCACAAATTTGCTAATTATGAGCAAAACCTCTGTGAGTATTTTCAGTAGCATTCATTCTCCAAAAAATTGTTGTAAGGTAGAGAAAGTGGATCAGAAGTAAGGAAGTGTAGAAGTTGAGTCGAGAAACGTGGCAGAAATGGCAAAGCAGTTGCATCATTTCTTGTTGAAAGTAGCCCATTTCACAGTTGAGATGGGGTCAAGATTTTTGCTGTCTGAAGTTGGTACATTTAATGCATTGAATTTAATAATAATCTTGAATTTTACTTCAACAGAAGTAAGAAATATCCTAAAAATATTTTAATTATCAAATACTTTTTTAATTCAGGCTAAAGTGCTTATTTTAACTTTAATATAAGCTGGAAATTAAATGGTGTGAGTTAGAAAAGAGTGAGAAGGTTAGACAGTAGCAATATCTTTATTCTCCACATTGTAGCTAAATATTTTATTATTGCATATTTTGGTTATTATGGGGAACAAGCCAAAATGCTGAATATTTGATTTACAATCTTTGACTTGTAGAATTTTGTTGTGATGTGAGTTTTGTTCAAACTTAACTATTTACAGTAGTTACTGGAGTAGCAATATATGGGTTAGCTATAAAATATTTTTGCTTGACAGTATATTGGAAAGTTTAATATGAATTTGGTTTGCTTTTGGACTACTAAGTTAGCATACCAAGATTGGTCTGAATCATTCAAATAATTTGGAGGTGACAGGCAGAAAGCCTTCCTTGATACCACATCAGTATGGCTTAATATGTGTAGCACGTATGTAAAGAATGCTTGTACCCCAATTTTTATACTCAGCTCTGTCTTCCTTTGCTTGTCAGAACTAGATAAACCTGATACTGAGTGTAGCTAACTAAACATCTTGTTATAGTGTGAATGCCTTTTACTAGCTGATGAAGCATGATTATAATTATACTTTAGTATTAGGCTTATTATGTTTCTTAAACACTACATTCTTTATCTAATTCCTTATGGATTTCCAAGAATTAGATAGGTGTATAATAACATTATTCTAATTACTATATTCATCATATCCTTTGCTGATGATGCATTTTGCTTAATCCAGAGATCTTCAGGCCAGCTGGGATACAACAAACAGAGTAGTGGTCAGAACACTATTTATATAAGCCATTTGTTACATTCTTTATCTAGTCATGGTAGGGGTGGGGGGACAGAAAAAAAACATTGTAATGTACAATGTTGATGAAATAATTATCAATTATCCATTTGAAGATATTTTGTTATTTACAAGGTTTATGAGTTCCCCGCATCACATAAGTCAATGGTTAAACTGGTGGTACATAGGAAGATTGTAAGACTAACTTACTGTTGCGTCAGTGAGGTCACGTGATTAGTATCACACCATGTCATTCTCGAACATTCACGTCTTTTCCTTAAATCTCGTGATTCTTCTAGATATAGTGTAGTCTGGTATATATAAGACCGGCCACGAAGCGACGGGGAGTTGATGAGTAATTGAACTGCAGTCAGAGAGTGTGTAATTGAACTGAGTATTGTTGAAGTTGAGCACATGAGACGTTCATTGTTATAGCGTTTGTTATAGTGCGACTGTTGAAATTAAGTGTATCACAAAGTTATATTCAGAAAGAATAAACCAGTTTTATTTAAGAAAGGACTTGTGTCGCTAAAGTTTCGTCGGAACGAAGTTACGGAAAGTTAACTAACGAACAGAGACGTAACATTACTTTTTCCATAATGGTATTCTAAATACCACTAATTCATACGAGTTATTTTTTGATATAATTTGCATAGTGTTACATAGGAACATTAAGTTTTGTCAGCTGTTACACAGGTTGAAAACTGCTGGCAAAATGTTTGAAGTACAGTGTACACTTATGGATCAGTTTCTGGCATCCAAAAATACTTATGACCTTTTTGCTTATGTGGACTTGGAACAATTTATAAAGTTGTAATTAGTGTGCCATTAAATATGTTAAGTGTAACATGTTTTTTCATTTTGACAAGAGTAAACTTACTAGTGTAATCAAGATTTAATTTTTCTTTTGTTTTGTAGACAAGATTAGCTTCTGGTAAGGATAACTTAATGTTTTTTCACAAAGTATATTAGTATGACTGATGTTTTGGCATTGAGGACAGGAGGTTAGTTAATACATTGAAGTTTGTTTTCCAGTCAGATTAAATGTAGGTTTAAACTGATTAAAGTAATTAATGTGTACAAAATTCTTGATGATATTCACTGTAAACATTATCCTAACTTTAGTATTGTTCAGTATGAGGTGTTATATATATTATGAACTGTTTTAATTATAGTAGTCTTAATTATTCATAAAATGAAAGTTTAGCTTATATATATATCTACAATCTGAAACAGGCACGTACACAGGAAAACAATTTGGGAGGGGTTACACTTTATGTTTAGTGGTGAATCCAGGATGGTGCAGTATAGTGGGTGGGAACTAGGAACAATTACCCTTTGTGGAAGATCTGGATCTCAAAAAGTGTAAAATGAAAAATGCTGTAGAGTGAGTGCATTATGGGCACGAGTGGTACCAGTTGATATCAATAGTTATTGGTATCATAGTGAGAGTGGTACCAGTTGATAAAACACCCTCTGTCAGATAGAGGCTATTATATAACAATGCTTACAAAATAACATTAGTACTTGGTATGGAACTTGAAATGGTACTTTATTAATAATAGGTCTTAATTGTCGATCGTAGTCTTTTCCTACAAAAAATATAAATATAAATTGAGCCATGCAATCCACAAAATCTTTTAACATCCTGTTCCATCCTCAAACTATTGAAACAAATGGGATAGCGTATAAAGAGTCCTAAAATTGTATCTGTTTTAAAATTCATGCAATTTAGTAAAATTTGATCTATCTATTGTTTAAGATATCATTTCAAATGACTTTTGCCAGATATTTCAATTTACATTAATAAACACACCAACTGACCAGCTGTGAAATTATATCTTAAATTCAAATATGTTTTTAAATGTATATTAAAAGTAAATATTTCAAAATCATTATTATATAAAACAAAAAATAATTGAAATTATTATTATTATTATATATATCTGCTTGTTTTAATTTCATAAATTGGCAAAATTAGTATATTAAGTTTCTAATTCTAAAATCAAGTATTTGACTAGTTAGATCTAGTTCCTTTTCTTTGGGCAACAATCAAATGTGGGTTCACTTTATAGTGTAACTGTGAATAATAACTTCTGAGTAAAAGTAAAGGATAGTGAATAATAATATGTTAACTACATTATATCAGCCATATACAGTATCAACAAGACCTTATAACCAATACCAGCTCTTTTAAGTGGTTGATTTATAATAGCAAAATGCTTGAACAACAACTTTGTCAATGTGAACTGTAATAAGTTGGTTAAGTGTAATTTTTATCAATGTTATACATATCTCAACACATCAAAATTGGGGTAAGAGTTTTATCAATACTATATTATTATTTTTTTATGTCATGTACTATTTTCTTGAAACAACCATTCATATTCAGAAGAATTGGCAAACTAGGGAGTTTTTCTTGATCTTGTAGAAGGTCAAATGACAACAGCATCAACAGGAGAAGACTTCATTAGTAATTACTAATAAGAACCTCAGAGTGAAAGTAAAGAAGCGTATATAATAACATATCAATCACGCTGTATCTGTTATATTCAGTGCCAATGAGGCCTCAAGCTATACTGAGTAAAAATATCCAAACAACTTATAAAATACAATTTTGTCTCAGTTAGTCTGAAGCAGTCTTTTTTAATGGACTTATAATTATGTAAATAGTTGAACTGTGGTATTTATAACGAGTATGTTATTTTATTTGTACTTCTAAACAAAGGTACAGAAATATAGCTTTACCAATAGGTAGTAGAAAAGAAAAATGCACACATTTTGGTATAGTTAAGGGAAGTGCTACCAAACAATATTTTTGCCATGAGGGATACTTTATATATATTTCAGGGAAAAACATGGATTTTACTATTTAAGCTTTCCTTCCATAAATGGCAAAACATGGACAGACACACATTTTAAAAATAATATATATATATTTTTCTTCTGGGGTTAAGATTTCATAGTATGGTTACAACTCTCTCATAGCCCCCTCCCCCTTATAAGTGTGCCTCTGGCTTGAAGTGTTTATATATGTATATATATAATATATGTTTTGTTGTAAGTAAGCATATACATATTTATTATTGGTTGAAAGAATTCAGTTACTGTTGTAACTTACAGAAAAAAGAAAATGATGTAAGTGACAACCAATCAAATAGACCTTTTCATGGACAGGTGCTGATTAGAAAAGTTCCTGATGATCAACAAAGCATAGAAATTAGGGTTGCTGTCCTGGGTAACACAGATGTTGGAAAAAGCACACTATTGGGTGTACTTACTCAAGGTGATATGGACAATGGTCATGGCAGTGCCCGTTTAAATGTATTTCGACATTTACATGAGGTACGGACAGGACGTACCTCCAGTATAAGCTGTGAAATTCTAGGATTCAGTTCAAGTGGCTGTCCTCTTACCTACAACACTTTTTATACAGCTGAAGACATTTATGACCATGCAACTAAGCTTATCACTTTTATTGACTTGGCAGGACATCAGAAGTACATGAGAGTAACTGTATGTGGACTCACAGGTAATATCAGTAGATTATATAGGTTTTTAACTTACTAGTTTGTTATCACACTTTCCTTAATTACTTTTTCATTCTTATTTTTACTGAATTAGTTCACACATAAAGTATGAACAATTAATTAAAAGTGTTTGGTTTGATCATTTTTAAAAATGTTGCTTATTTAATTTGGTCTGATCTGAATATGCCACATATTGTGCAACACTGAATGCTGTTTGATAACATCAGAAATACAAAAGTTACAAAGTACTTAATAAAAATATTGATAAACCTTAAAATATTAAGATTTCAGCATTGATTATGTAATGGTAATCTTCTATCTATCTTCTTTTTTACATTGTATAACACAATATTGTATACTTACTGGTCACTTTATGAGGACTCCTTGCATCTTCATAGAACATTCCATTTACCTTCAAATCAAAAATATAATGATTTAATGAAGTGTTAGATAATTTCTCTCTCTTGTCTTGAGAACTAACCATGATATGTTTAATGTTATCATATATATATATATATATAGTGTATATGATAACATTAAACATATCATGGTTAGTTTTCAAGACAATGGGTAAGAGCAAGCCTTTAATGGGGATGGACATTGCAGAAGTGTCGTTATAAAAGACTGTTTTTCTGTCTGGCTGTTTATTGATATACAGGGATACAATTGTCACTATCAAAATTGTCTTATTGACTGCTGGTGATAGATCAAGAGAACAATGTTTTACAGGCTTTTAAAGTGCAAAAGATGTCAGACTTATTCCATTTGACCAGGCTTGTGGTCAGGATTTGATTTTCTACTACCATACCTCATGAAGGCATTACAACAACAGATATGAAAATCATTTATCACAGATGCAATTAAGAAAGCGTGACTTCAGTCACATTTAGATCATAAACTTTGGATATTAAATGACAAGAAATGTTTGTTGTTTAATAATCACTTTTTACCATTTTCTATAGTGATAGCACAGTAAAAATAGAGAAAAAAAAACACATTAGGTTTTTTGACACTGCTTGTGTTGTTTTGAGAATGCAAATTGCTAGAGTCATGTGATGGTGTAAGAAACATTCTAGAGGTGAGGATTAAGTACATTGATTCCTTTAGACATTACCTGAATGTCAATTCTGATTATTTTCCATTTTATACTTAAAGATTCTGTCAAAATGGTAGTGCAACAATCTGTCATGCATGTATTTTCTGAATTTTTGGTAAATAACTTCAGTGGTTAGAAAAATGATCATTATTGCTACTTTAATCCTTTGGTTCACTCAATCTCTTATTCCATTAGGGGTTTTTCTTCCATTCTCCACTTTGGCTCAGGGATATGGATCGGGCAGCATCAGTAACCCTACTTTCTCCTTTTCTCACTGTGTGAGGGGTTCTCTCTCTCTCTTTTGGGGATGTAGGCTTTCTTGGAAGCTCTCATTTCCTTGGGTTGATCTCACATGCATTCCATTCAGTGGATGCTTCTCAACCAATAGAACTTCTACTATGATTCCTTGGACCATCCATTCCCCTTCCCAACAGGATCATGGCCACCTTGCTTGGTGGTCCCAACAGGGAACTAACCATGGTGAGGGTTCCCATTACTCCACCTTGTCCAGGGTCTTATCTGTTTACTGATGCTTTCTTGGTGGGTTAGAGAGCTTTCCTTGATTCCCAAGAGATTTCTGGTTGATGGTCTGTTAAGGAGGCTACTCTCCATTTCAACATCCTGGAACTTTTGGCAGTTTGTTGAGCTCTGTATCATTTCCTCCCACTCCTGAGGTAGTGGGTGGTTATGGTTCATTTGGACTATTCCACTGTTGTCAGCTATATTACCAAACAAGGAGGAACCAAGTCCAGACCTCTATGTTTTCAGATGTTGGTTCTTCTTTATTGGGCCCATGGCCACTACATGACGATGTTGATGTGTCAAGCTCCTAGCATTATGAATCTCGACCAAACTAAGTTCTCCCCTTCTTCTACGGGTATTTTGGTGGGTGTGTTCTCAACTGGGAACACTACATATATATGTGTTTGCCACTCACTGGAATGCCAAAATTCCTTTCTTTTTGTCTCTGGTTCTACATCCTTCAGCTCTTGGAGTAGATACAGTTAGGTTTGGAGGGTCTTCACTTGTATACCTACCCTCCGATCAGACTTCTCTCCAGAGTCTTTCTCTTCTCCAAACCATTCCTTGTCATGTCCTGCTCATTGCTTCATATTGGCCCACTCAGGCATAATTCCATTTGCTCTGGCCCTTGCTGGATTGATATCCCCTTCTCATACCTCTTTCCGAGACTCTTCTTCATCAACCTTGATCTGACATGGTTCATTCTGGTGTCACCAAACTTCATCTGCATGTGTGGCTTTTGTCCAGTTCCATGTCTCAGCTTAAGGACTCACCCCTAGTGTAGTATCTTTCCTTGCCCGTGCCTTTCAAACTTCCTCCTTGTCTGTGTGCAAGAGGCATTGGTCTTCCTTCAGACTTTGTTCCATTTGCCATGGCTTACACTCATACCATTTTCAATGGAATTCTTTTTTTTCCTGTGATCTATCACCTATTACACTCACTGGTTGGTTTTGTCAACTCATACGATGGGCATATTCTGACTTGTTCATGGAAGCTCACCATTTACATAATGTTTCTTTGAACCACATTCATCATCTCACTATATCTTTAGCTTCTCGAATCTGCTGTCCTTTGGAGGAGATTGTTCAGGCTGGTAAGTCTCACATTATTTGCATGGCCTAACTGTGTCTTTCTTGGGCATGTATCATCTTCCTCCTGTGGCAGTTCTACATGACTGTTTGCATTTGACTGGGGTGAGTTGACATATTCTTTTTTTATCTTATTTAGTTGATATACATTATATTTCAGGATCCCACCTGGTGGTGGGGGTTGCCTGGTCAGGTATGCTTAATATTATATTAGCACTAATTCTGTATACTTTTATAATGCTCATTGTTGAGATGGGGTGTTGCTGTAAGACCACTGGCCACTTATCCAGTGGTATATGTGTGTGTGTATATATATATATATATATATCACTCATGAATTTCATGAGTAAAGCAGATAGGGATTTCTGCTCATCCCTACTGACACATGATTCTTCAAATTACCGAACAATGATTATACAAGGCACTTCCTCTGGATCTAGATGTTTTTACCCGAGGGGACCACACTTGGTTTTATCATATGTATCCAAGGTGCTTCTCTCTGGGTGTTGCCTAGGTGGACTGCACTTGTTAATCTCTGTATCTTAGGCAAGGCACTTTCACTTGATGTTTTTGCCTGGATGGACTGCACTTAGCATAATACTCATATCCCAAGGTGCTTCCCATGAATTTTTTTTGGCCCAGGCAGACCACACTTGTTGATATCACAAGCTTATGCAAGGCACTTCCACAGGATGTTTTTTTTTGCCCGGGTGGACCACACTTTGCCTAGTCGTATACAGTTCGTGGTCCTTCAGCCCTAGTCACGTTTAGTTATTTTGTTTTCTCAGGCACCATACCATGACTTACTATCGCTATGTTTGGTACTACGGTCTGCTACATATGTGGACAAAGTATGACATGTCTGGTAACAGGCTGGTTATAAAAACCTTCAAGATCACACTCATGTCTGTAATTTTTTTCTTCATCCTACATATCCATGGTGCTTCCCATACTTTACATATTCTAATGTAACCCAAGGCACTAACTTTGGTACATGCTTATAAAAGCCTGCTGTTGCTTTCACACTAGACTTTCCATGTTTGTTAATGCTGTGCTGTTTCAAGTCATGGTTCTGTAGCATTTGTCCACTGATTTGTACATCTCTTTTCTGAATGCATTGGTGCCTGCCAATTCAGTTGTGCCCTCTCTTTCTTCCTGTTCCAGCATACCTGTTCCAGAAGTAGTTCTATACCCCACAGGTGTGTTTGCTTTTCATATTTGTTCACACCTGTTCTTTCATTGTAGTCACTCTCCACTTGATTGGATATCAATGCACCTTTACTGGCCCATCCACCTTTGCACTGTGGGATTCTAGCTTTGGGTGATAGGAGGTAAGACCATTTTGGAAGTTAACATTTTCTTACACTGAAAATGTATTTCCAATAGGTACTTACCTCCTCTCACCCACTTCCCACCCTTCCTCTACATTGATATGCCAATCTTTCTGGTTTTTACCTGCCAATTCTCAAAAGTGAGGATTACTCTACAATAGTGGAGTGAGCTAGCAGTGCTAGTATAGAGGGTGCAGTATGGTTGGTGGAGTAGAGTCACATGATCAGCACCTGTTCTGAAATGGTGAGAAACTGATGGGGTATAAACGACTGGTACACTGTTAACAAAAAATTTTAGCAATGCTTGCAGGGCAGTCCAGGATTGAGATAGCTTTGGGTAAGAGAGGTAAGTACATATCAGAAATACATTTTCAGTGTAAGGAAATGTTAACAACTCTGAATAACTGAGTCTGAAAAAGAAGGTTACTTGATACAAGGTAATACGCAAAATGAACAATCTATATTGATTTGTAAATAAAGTGTTTGTACTTGTTGTTAAACAGGGGACAGTCACTTTTATTGCATCTTCTTCCAAACTGCTTACTTTTCAAGATCATGTAACATATTGTGTCAATTCAGTGTTCCTCACTTTACAAAGAAAGCTGTATTTATCAAATGTGACTAGTGCAACCATACTCATTCAAATATAGGTAAGGCTATAACCTCAAGATATTGCATGAAAAATCAATGAAGTACACTACTGTCAACATCCTTACACAACGTGCAGTATTATAGCAAAACTTCCATGAGCAGAGCAAGTATTATCTCTTAGAGAATGACAAGGTAATAAAGATAGCTAGAATGAGATGCAGTTAATGGATTTCTTGACCATGTGTTATGTGAAACCCATGTATACAGAATAAAGAATAAATTTAGAAAAAATGCTGCAATAATAAATAAATCTATATAAACACAATAGTACTGTCTCTTGCCTGTCCATGTAACTACTTCATAAGGTGTGGATGGGTCTGCACCAAAGTTTTTGCATTTTCTGCATTTTTTTATAAATTTTCATGCCCTAAGATAAACTTATATTAATCATGAATTTACATAACTTCCATTCAGGGGATGGATGCTTCAGCTAGTAAAAAATAAAATAGAACTGCATGGTATATTTAAATACCATAATTATGTAAAGGACATACATTTGCAAAAATGTGTAACGTTCAAAATGTGTGTAACAGATGAAAGACAAGGGTTGTAATTTTACACCCATTCTAGCACATATAAGAGATAGTATCATTACAACAGGTTAATAAAGTTATAACCTAACTTACCCTTTGTCTTAGCTTAAAGAGTTATATATTCAACTACTACAGATAGGTTCAAGTAATGATTAGTCAGCTATGGCCAATGTTATACAGAGTTATATGTCTAACTACTACAGATAGGTTCAAGTAATGATTAGTCAGCTATGGCCAATGTTATACAGAGTTATGTGTGTAACTACTACAGATAGATTCATGTAATGATTAGCCAGCTACAACCAATATTATTCAGAGTTATGTGTATAACTACTACATACTCAGTTCAAGTAATGATAAGCCAAATATGACCAGTGTTATTCAGAGTTATGTGTCTAACTACTGCAGATAGGTTTATGTAATGATTAGCCAGCTATGACCAGTATTATTCAGAGTTATGTGTGTAACTACTAGAGAGATGTTCAAGTGATAATTAGCCAGCTATGACTAGGGTTATATATAACTGCTACAGATAGGTTTAAGTAATAACTAGCCAGATATATCAATTTGACAGGACATTCTCCCCATTTTGCTCTGTTGGTGGTCAGTGCAGTAACAGGTGTTGCAGGAACAACAAAAGAGCACTTAGGACTTGCTTTGGCCTTGGGTGTGCCTATTGTTGTAGTGGTCAATAAAGTGGACTTGGCTAGCACATACATGCTTCAACAAACTCGGCATCAAGTAGAAGATCTTCTCAAAGGTCCGGGATGTAAAAAGGTGCGTTGATATTAACATTTTGCCCATTGAATATTATTAATATTTTTTGCTATTGGTTAGGACTTTATTGTAATTAATGATTGACAGAAAATTATTCACTCAATAGGAATAAAAGGGAAAAGGTTAGTGTTTACATATATTTGAATAGAAATTTAAAATTTGGGAGTAGGTTTAGATTTCCTCTAGTTTTCAAGCTTTGACAACTTTACTTTGTAGCAAAAATTTAGTTAAAATAAACTTTTTGAAATTAAAATTGACCTAAAAAATTCAAATTCTCTAGAACAATAGGTTATTCGTTACCAAAAGCTTCTGATGGAGTTGAAATTTGACCCTTTGGGTCATTTTTATACTAATTGTAAAACTTTTTTCACAAATGTTCAAGTGGATTCTAAACATCAAATATAGTTAGAAAACAGCCACAAAATAATAAAACAATAACTCAGACTGTTTTGGAAGTTAGACCTTATTTCTTTCTGATTGAATTGAGAATGAGTAGGAACAGTGAAAGTTGGACTGTAGATACTCACAGTGTTACTAGAGATCACTTCTAACTAACTTTCATCATGGTGAAACTGTAGATACTCACAGTGTTACTAGAGATCACTTCTGTAGATACTCACAGTGTTACTAGAGATCACTTCTCTAACTTTCATCATGGTGAATTAGTAATTCACCATGATGAAAGTTGGAGAAGTGATCTCTAGTAACAGTGTGAGTATCTACACTAATTCACCGTGATGAAAGTTAGAGAAGTGATCTCTAGTAACACTGTGAGTATCTACAGTAATTCACCATGATGAAAGTTGGAGATGTGATCTCTAGTAACAGTGTGAGTATTTGCCTGCCTGCAAATATCTATGCCGTCACTTCTTGCCAGTCTTATATACACAAAATAGAGGGTGTCTGGCAATCAAGCCTTCAGGATTATCTTTATCTTCAATCTCTCTATCTATCCCATTCTGCTTTACTTGCCGGGCTTATATACTAAAAAAGAGGGCGCCTGGAACAGACTACAGTTGCCAGGACAATTCAAGATCCTTCGAGAATATCATGACTTGTTACCAGGTCACGTGACTTCCTCTGTCGTAACACTGCCCCTTCCTTAGTATTGTTCGTCCCGAACAATAGCCACTTAAATTAAACCAATAGATAATTAACAATAATTTAATTAAATGTACAGAATTTACAAACACAAAATTAAAATTCAACAAAGCCTCTTAATTTTACGTGACGTATCTTCTTTCGTACTGGTCTGTCTCGTTGGCTTCTGCTTCATGTGAGGTTCATCTGCTCCATCAGGAATTGTCTTATTATTGGTAATAGTCACATCACTGGTAGTAACTTCAGGAAGGGCTTCACTGTTTCCCTTCTCAAAGTAGCTTTTTCGGGTGACACGTCTTCAGCAGCGTCTTTTGTCTTATTATTCACTTCTCCCAACTGAAATGTCTTGGACCATGATAATGCCAAAGCCTGTTAGCATGCACCACCTTTGGCTTGCCTCGCCGACCACATTTTATTTGTAAAGTCACGTCTAAGAGACAATCCACTATGTCATATGGGCCTTCCCATGGAGAAGACAACTTAGGAGACTTCCTGGGATTATACAACCATACCTTGTCTCCTGGTACAAAGCTGACTTCAGAAGATCTCTTATCATAACATAGCTTCATCGAATCAGCAGATGTTTTCAAGTTTGAACGCACTTGATGGTGAATATCATCCATCCTTT